CCTTTTCCTGTGACATAACATGAAAACTCAAAATCTCATTTATTTGGTTACTTGAACAACGCCAAAGTGTGGTATACAATATATAGGACTAACAGGACGGGAATGTTTTAGACGAACAAAGGAACATCTATACTGCTTCCGAAAACCTAAGAAATTCAAAAGTTTAATTTACCAACATTTAGGTAAACACAAACTTAATATTAAATTTATATGATTCCAACCACCCGAAACGATCCAGAAACAACAAGGACAATTACATAAACAATTTGAAGATTCCCGTAAAATTATGGAACTGTCTTGGATTAAACGACTGCAGTCAGCATATCCCCTGGGTCTTAATGACAATATAATGGGACAAGGGAACATATATATAACTTCTCCAATTGATATCATGAAAATTGTTGATAAAAGACAACGTAATAATAGGTCTCATGGCAAATGTATCAATCAAAATCAACGAATTAAACATCGTATAAATTATACACTTTATGATCTCCTATCTATATCTAAAAACAATGGTAGACATCAATTATTATGTTAACTGGATCAAATACCAATTAGTAAATTACATGATATTTTCAAGGCGTGTGACACAATCTCGTTCTTCAGTCCACTTTAAGAATATTCGCGTATGATTACAGCTTTTTGCCACCATTTAAAACGTTATACCCTCCCTATTTCGATAACACAGAACCACCTATTATTTCGTATACATATAAAAAACCTAGCAGAAGTAAATTTTCAATAATAAGTCAGTAACATCAGACGTCAGTGCATAAAATAATACTCCTCTAACTTGAGACTGTGAATCGTGGAATTTCAGATATGATCCCTATGGCCATGGACATGGACCTCAATATCGTTCAAGACTGAGATGTTAAAAAAATAGAAGAGTACATAATACGCCTATTTCTAGAATGAGGAACAATCTTCAAGTACTCGCAAAGCGGTTGTGTTTGTACCGACCAACAGAGCAAACAGCAATGTGGTGGTGGTATGCCGTAATTTCTACACGGACGTTCTTAAAAATGAAATCTTAAATTCTTCTTAAATCAAGTCCGTGCGCTCCACAGGGAGTCAAATAGTAAACAATCATGTCATAACCACATCACAGCTTAAGGCCTCTTCTGAATATTTAAAGGTCCCTGCTATGTATAGGTTGTCCTAAACAACACAAAAAACAGTAAAATATCGTTTCATCTCGGCCTCTAGTAAGTGTTCTACAACTAATCTTTCAGTGCTTTTAACTAGTTCCTTAACTGCTATCAAAGAACTCATTATCAACTTTTGTAATAAAACATATGAAAATAGCGGAATTAACTATTTTTGGAGTGTAAAATATTCTTTAGTTATTTTTGATGAATTATGTGCTGTTGATGGTCCTTTTGATTCTGTTGACAGTTTTGATTTTTCAACTCTTTACACTACACTTCCACACAATCTTGTCAAACAAAACTTTTCCTTCTAATCAAATGGCCCGAGAACACAGTTATTTCGTAGTGCATTTCTTTTAGACAATAAATTCAAATTCAAAAAATCGCACCTGCTCTATCTCAAAAAGATTTTTACAGTGTAGTGTACTACTATTGATACAAATAATATCAAAATAATAGAAACTTCTACCAGCTCTAACTCAAAATATTGACAATTCTGTGTTAAGGGGGACTAAAATTCAGTTTGACAGCTTCAGACATTCTAATTTTTGATCTTTTTTGACTGGACCAAATCACTACTTAACATAAACATTCAGCACCCTAATTTTTTTAACATGTAATTTCATCCCTTACTTAATATTTCATGCATAAAATATCAAGAAATAAATTGGGAAAGTGTATCCAAAAAAAATGCAAGTTATACACTGTTCACACTAGGGACTATATTCGTAGACAACGAAAACCAAAGGACGATAACTGTGTCCTTGGACCAAATGGTCGTTTGGTAAATCTGAATGCAAATATGTTTGCTGTAATTCATTTAAAGCCTTCTTCTCTAATGAGAAAGGTAAATACGCTAGATATACTTACTGGAAGTGTGATGAAAGGATTGATGCTGTTTTCTCCTTGATAATATTTATACACGTTTTGGCAATAAATTTATCGACAGGTTGTAGGTATTCCTATGGGCACCAATTGCGCCCCTTTAATGACAGATTTGTCCTTGTACTGTTATGAATCACAGTTTATAACCAAACTCAGTAAAGACCCGTCTTAAATGCATTTAATTGATAAATTCAACAACACTTAACTGTTTTTTTCGTTAAATAATCAAGAATTTTCTAAATATACTGCCGAAATTTACCCAAAGGAACTTACTTTAAATAAATCAAATATAAACGGTAATAACTGTCCTTTCCAAGATTTAGATATTTCAGTTTTACACGGGAAACTCTACACTTAAATTTTCGACAAAAGGGACGTCTTTTCGTTCCCTATTGTTAATTTTCCTTTTTTGGACGGTGATGTACCTTTGGCACCATCTTACGATGCTTGTATATCACAACTCGATCTCTATGCCCGTGTGTGTTGTGACATTTTGGATTTCAATGAACGTAATATATGTATTACTGGTAAATTATTAAGTCAGGGATTTCGTTACCACAAATAACTTAAAACCTTTACAAAACTCTTCCATAGATATAAAGATTTGGTTTGGAAATTTGGTTGTACCTGTAGAAATCTTATTTTTAACGGGATAGCACATCCTTATTTTTACGGAGATGTTGTTTACTGAGCCCGGAAATTCAGATACGATCCCGGTAAACTTATCGATCCTTTAAATAAACTTATTCTAAAAAATTAAAAACAACACATTTAATAATTTCATGCGTTTGAAGCGCTTTCTGGATTTACCTTCATCAGGAACGCTCAAAGCCAAATATTTGAAAGCCGAGGATGTACCGAAACAGTTGAAGAGCTATATGACAAAAAAGACCAAAAAAAAAAGGTTACCAATTCAACACTATTTCTAAATTCCATTACCATTTAAGTGGACTCATTTATATTGATCATCAAAGTCAAAATTGGAATTAAATTCTCCAATTTAGTGTTCTATGCTATTGAATTTCCATGTAGTTATAACACAATATTGTTTAAACTAAATTGGAGCTAATATCAGAAGTGTTCCATTAGGGAACACAAAATTGTTTTCAAAGCATATTCTTGGTAAAAAAAAAAACTCAATCTCACAATGAAACATTTGAAAAGGTAAATTCATTTAGTTAACTGTTTCCAAAATGAATCTCATATTTTTACTCTACATGCCAAACTTGGTTCTACTAAACTTGTTTTTATATTGCAGATATGATCAATCATATTGAACCATGATCAATTATAGTGAATTCTAGTTTGATAATTTCTTTAAGCATGCTTGTATATCAAAAACTATTTTTATATACAAAATTTGTAATTAGTAAGTAATCATATGGATGTTATCTAAAAGTAATCATGATTACACCTGTTTTTTACATTGTAATCGATTAAATTTCGATAACTTGTAATCAGAAATTGCATAATTACTGATTAGATGTGATTACATTGTAAAATGTAATCGGTTACAGCTGATTACGATTACTGGTTACGATTACCCGATGCCTGGTAGAAGAAGCATTATGTCCAATACTGAAGTTTGATGTAACTGACGTATAATTGGATATTCAACTTCTACTGAATTTGTATATGTGTACGAAATAATATTTGGTTCTATGTAATCAAAATAGAGAGGGGTGAATTTTTGAATGGTAGAGTCATTTAAGAGTATACTAGATAGGTTAATCAAATCAATACCTCTGATGATATATTTTACTTTAAGAATATCAATATGCAAAACCAGCCTGTGGTGATAAAAAGCTGAAATGATATATGTACACACATTGAGTGGACTGAAAAATAATATTGCATCACACAAATTGAAAATAAGTATTTACTAATTAGTATTTGACCAGTTTGAATGACAGTATTTGATTTGTTCATTGCGATTGATACGCTTGCCATGAGACCAATTTGACCGTTGTCTTTATGATATCAATAGAGGAAGTTTTAGAAATGTTCCTTTGTCCCATGATATTGTCATTAAGACCGAGGTGATATGCTATCTGTTGTCGTTTGATCCAAGACGGTTAACAAATTTTACAAGAGTTTTCAAATTGTTTATATGATTGTCCGGGTGGTTTCTTGCCGGTTTCGAGTGGTTGTAATCGTATAAAATTGATACTGTGTTTTTGTTTTTCTAAATGTTGTTATATCAAACTTTTCGATTTCTTAGGTCTGCGGAAGCTGTATACATGTTCTTGTCTTTGGTTGAAAAAATCCCATCCATTTTGTCCTATACATTAAATACCACATTTTAGTTTAGTTTATGTTACACGATTTATGAGACTTGGAGTTTTTCAAGTAATACCATAGGAAAAGGAAAGCTCCCGTTCACCAATAACCGAACAGTATCATTCAAAGTATCTGCTTTAATCATAGGCAAAAAATGACATCTCTTATACAATTTTTTCCTGAGACTAGTAATTATGAATCTAATGTAGAATTCAAAGAGGAAAAAAAAAACCTTAACACTACCAAAAGTGAACAATTTCAAGGTTTTTAGGAACTGCAAAGGCATTTCTATTCCTCAAACAAGTGAAATAAAATCAAAAGGAAAAGGCTTGTTTTAAGTTTTGAAGTAGGGCTGACACTTAATTGTTTAATCACATAAAACGTTACCGATTGTACTGCACATAATGCGCATTTCGACCATCATTTATGTATCTGCGGTGATGTTCAACACCAACATATTTGTAAATGATGCGCTCTAAAATGCAAAAAGACTATTCGATTGCTTTAATTATGATTTACTGAGAAATGCAGCCTAGACGGCACTACATAAGGAAGAATCGTCCTTGATATGTTATGTTAACTTGTAAAATTATTAAAATACACCGTTAATCAATTTCTCACCATAATGTGCCCATTCTTTGAGCTTGAGTTTATAAAAAAAAAACTTTTGTGATGACCTACCTTTTTTGGAAAACAAGACTTTCCATTCATTATCTTCTACTACGTCGGTAGATTCATCTAGCGGACTTTTTGTACTTAACTGACACTGCTTTGTCACAAAATTGTAATTCACTGAAACACAAGTATTGTCAGCTAAACAGTATGACGCACATTTATTCGTGCTGTTATGATTTAATGAAATTGTATAATAAGTATTCAACAATTTAATTCCCTTCAAGACCTCATATATGTTTGATGAAATGGCTAAAGAACATACAGCGTCACTTAAAACGTACAAAATGTAAATAAAAAATTTTCTCATTGTTATTCCAAAATTCAAAATTTCCAATGGTAGTGCAATACTTGGTAGTGTTTTGGCTTAAAACTAATTAATTTTCAATTCCAGTTAGATAAGGCAAAATAATTTTCGGTTCCAGATAAATAATGCATCCATTGATGATTCTTAATACGATTCGGCTTTGTTTGTGCAATTAAGGTAATTGTCAATATATTGTAAAGATATCTCTTATGTTGAGATTTTAATGGTTAACAGTCGATACGAACTAGAGTAAAATAGTTTTAAATCAACGAAGCATTCTTTTCAAATATTGATGTTAGCTATCAGAGAGATAAATTCATTCCCATAAACATTTCAATGTATTGTCCTTATGGGAATGTTTGTGCTTTTATCTTCTATCTTTTATCGGTAAAATCATATTGAATAGAACTAATAAACGACAAGTTCATAAGTATGTTCAAATTAAGTACCGAATTACTGACGGAATTCATTCGGTACCAATGAAGACAATTCAAGCTGAAAATGTTAAAGTAGAAACCCTGCAAATAATTTTTAACCTATGTCACTTTTGCTCTAACTGATTTAGTTTCGTTTAGATATAAACCAAAATCTACAGTTTTGCTCCTGTGCTCTCCTTTTTGCAACAGCGGCAATATTTGTTGCAGCTCAAATACCAAAATACAAGTTTTAAAATATGTCCTAAGTCACATTCAGGTAAAAGTTTGGTTATATAAGGCCAAGAAGTTTCAGTTTACGACGACGGACGGACAATAACGACGGACGACAAGTAATAGCAATAGCTCATCTGGCCCAATGGCCCATGTGATCTAAGTATTATAGGTTTATTGTGTAACAAAGGTGGATAGCACAGTACAAAGTCAAATGCATGTTGTATACCTCTGTATAAAAGATGTGGTATTATTACCAATGAGACAACTATCCACTAGTGTTCCAATGAATTGGCTTTAAGCAATTATAGTCAACCGTACGGCCCTCAACAATGAGATAATCCCATACCGTAAAGTCGGCTATTAATGGCCCCAACAAACAAAATGTGAAATAATTCAAGCGAGAAAATAAAGGGCCTTATTTATAACAAAACAATTTACGAAAAAATTATATGACAGACATGAACCAACGACAACCACTTGACTTGGGACAGGCAAATAAAGAATGTGCGGGGATAAACATATAGTTGAGCGCTCAATCCTCCCCCTAACCTGAGACAGTGGTGTAACAATACAACATAAGAACAAACTGTGTGGTAACCAAATCCCTGACTTAATAATTTACCAGTTATTCATAAAAGAGGGACGAAGTATACCAGAGGGACAGTCAAACGCATACGTTCATTGAAATCTAAAACGGGCATAGCGAACACGTTGTAAATTATACACACAGTAAGAAGGCGCCAAAAGGAATATCCCCGTCCAAAAAGGGAGAATAAGCAATCGGGAACGCAAAATCGTCTCTTTTGTCATACATTTTTGTATAGAGTTTCCCATGTGAAACTGAAATATCCAAATCTTAAAGAAAAAAAATTATTGCTGCCTGTATTAGATTTATTTTAAGGTAAGTTCCTTTGTGTAAATTTCTGCAGTAAAATTAAAAATGTTTTAATTATTTGAAGCAGAAACATCATGGAGGTAACGGTGAGAGTTAAATATATCAATTACAATACAGGAACAAGTCTACTATTAAAGGGGCACATTGGTGCCCATAGGAATACCTACAACCTACAACTTGTCTATACATGGTATTGCCGAAACGTATATAGATGTTGTCAAGAGGAAAATTTAAAGCTTTAATCATTTTATCACAGTTCCTGTAAATATATCTAGCATATTTCCCTTTTTCATTACAGAAGAAAGCTTTAAATGAGTTGCAGCAAAAAATTTGCAGCCAGATTTTTCTAGGAACCATTTAATTAAATAAGAGAACTAATGTTTGATAAGATTGTGTAGAAGTGTTCAGAGTCGAAAAATCATATCTGTCAACTGAACTGAACGGACCATCGAAAGCACGTAATTAATCCAAAACGTCCAAAGAGATTTTGACAATCCAAAAATAGTTTATTTCATTATTTTTATATGCTTTATTACAAAAATTATTAACAAGTTCTTTAATAGAAACAAGGGAAGTAGTTAACAGCACAGAAAGATTTATCGTAGAACACATACTAGAAGCTGAGATGAAACGAAATTTGAACGTTTTTTTTTTGGTAATTTAGGAAGCCAATACATAGGAGTGACTTTCAGATTTTCAGAGGAAGTCGTAAGCTGAGCTGGGGTAGTGACAATATTATTTTCTATTTGACTCTCTGTGAAGCGCCCATGAATGTAGATGAATGTATAATTTCATTTTGTGTACTATTGTTTGTCTGTTGGTCTTTTTCTTTTTAAGCCATGGCGTTGTCAGTTTATTTTCGACTTATGAGTTTGAATGTCCCTTTGGTATCTTTCGCCTCTCTTTTTAATCAGATTTCTCCCGTGTACACCAATTTTTACAATAGGACGAAAGAACATTTTAATGACCTAAAGACACTCTTTCCAATTTCTTATCGACGGTGGACGACATTTTGGTCCTTTTTTCAGAGAGTTTATAATCTCTCGATCTTCAACGATGTTGAGGTCCCCTGTAATTACTTGGTCATAGGGATCATATCTAAACTTCGATGTTTCACAGTCTCATGTTGAAGGAGCATTGCTTTCTATACTGAGGTATGATGTAACAGACATATAATTAAAAATTAAACTTCTACTGGTTTTTTTTTATACTACAAAAAATTACAGATGGCTCTATGTTATCAAAATGTGGAAGTATAAAGTTTTGAACGGTAGAGTCATTAAAAATACTAGGCAAATTAATAAAATTAATTTTTAGAAAATACCTTTATGATCGTTTATGTTTTCTCTGTAATATCACACTCATTAACTTGATAAAAAGGAGTTCATGCCTTGACATAATCAATCCAGATCAAGAGTAAATGTGCATCAAAAATTCCAAGGTTTGCCAATAACAAAAAGTTTTGAAAGAAATTGAATTTCAAATGTAGGTCTAGATTTACTTATAAGCATGATGCGACGTGCAGTTTCTTCGAATATGAAATAACACAAGTACATTTATTTTGTATTTTTAATGAATGTAAAAGGAATATATCCATTAAAATCTGAATAAAAATGCAAGTTCCAAAATTGCATTGCTCACCTGGTATGTATATAAATTTTGAAATGTTTCTGTGAGTTGCTAAAACAGCATGATTTGTCAGCTCAAAGTGCTTTAAAATGTTGAAAATCCCATCGAAACTTCATCCAAACAATACATTGATCATAGATTTACCATACCCAGCCTAACCTGGATCGTCTCTAGTCGAATAAGATTATTAATAGAACTATTTAAGCCACACATAGAAGTACAATCTTTTTGGGACATCATGCAAAATCAAAATCAGAGGAAATTCAAATTATAGCAAATCAGAATATAAGATTGCTAAGAAAGTTGTCTTTCATATGATCGTCTCTGAATCTGCTTGGACAGTTTGAACCATACTTTGTGGAAATAATGCACTGAAGATCCTTTCATTTATAGACGATTATATCCAGTCATGTGTTTAGGATTGTCTTTGCATTGTTAACAAGACATCATTGAGATGGGAGCCATCTCTTTGGGCCCCGCTGTAAATAACGTGTGGTAAAACATTTGTATGGATAAGCTGATATGAAGCACTTTTTTAAAGTTATTACATAGTCTCGTTATGTGCTGAGAGTGATTTTATTCTATGTTTTTTGGTTAAAGTGTTATATTTGAAAATTTAATTAAATTTATAAATATCCTGAACTTACTTTCATGGTATAATAGTGATATGACTGCATGGTGTGAATTCATTGTTGACCACTTGGTGAATTCTGGATATATGGGTTGATGTTTATTTGAAGTTATAACGGTTCTCAAGATATAGAGCGGACATGATCTGTACCATAGGACATGGGGTTGTCAACTGAAACCAAAGTTTTTGACCTTGACCTTTGACCTAGGAAGCATAAAGTATGAAATTATAACGGTTCTCTAGACATACAGCGGACACAATTTGTTATGGACGGACGAACAGACCTGAAACCAAAGTTTGGGACCTTGAACTTTGACCTAGGAAGTTGTACAAACATTATGACACACCCTCTGGTTTTGGTAAATATACATGTCAAGTATAAAGTATGAAATTATAACGTTTCTCTAAATAAATAGTGGACACAATTTGTTACGGACGGACGAACAGACATGAAACCAAAGTTTGGGACCTTGAACTTTGACCTAGGAAGTTGTACAAACATTATGACACACCCTATGGTTCTGGTAAATATACATGTCAAGTATAAAGTATGAAATTATAACGTTTCTCTAAATAAATAGTGGACACAATTTGTTACGGACGGACGAACAGACCTGAAACCAAAGTTTGGGACCTTGAACTTTGACCTAGGAAGTTGTACAAACATTATGACACACCCTATGGTTCTGGTAAATATACATGTCAAGTATAAAGTATGAAATTATAACGTTTCTCTAAATAAATAGTGGACACAATTTGTTACGGACGGACGAACAGACCTGAAACCAAAGTTTGGGACCTTGAACTTTGACCTAGGAAGTTGTACAAACATTATGACACACAATCTGATGATGGTTGATATACATGTCAAGTATAACGTATAAAATTATAACGGTTCTCCAGATATAGAGCGGACACAATTTGTTACGGACGGAAAGAATAATCACTATAGGGCCCTAATAAATACTTTGTAGAGGATTTTCCTTGCATTTTTTCCAGTTATTTGTAGAAGAACTTCCTTGCACTATTTCCAGTTATTTGTAGAGGAACTTCCTTGCATTATTTACATATATTTGTAGAGGAACTTCTTGCATTATTTCTAGTTATTTGTAGAGGACCTTTCTTTTATTATTTCCAGTCATTTGTTGAGGATCTTCCTTGAATTATTTCGAGTTATTTGTAGTCGATCTTCCCTGCATTATTTCCAGTCATTTGTAGAGGACCTTTCTTGCATTTTTTCCAGTTATTTGTAGAGGATCTTCCTTGAATCATTTCCAGTTATTTGTAGAGGAACTTCCTTGCATTGTTTACATTTATTTGTAGAGGACCTTCTAGCATTATTTCTAATTATTTGTAGAGGACCTTTCTTTTATTATTTCAAGTCATTTG